ACACCTATATACAATATTTAGATACTCTGAGTCATGTTTTGTTCCCCAAATGTGGAAGCCAAACCAGGTTCCAGGAGATCCCAGTGCTTCTCTCTCAGTCGCGTCACTGGTATTGGAAACCAGTGGAGACTGATGGAGGGCACTAGAGCAATAGACGCTCAGGACTTGATTGGAGAATCTGGTCATTGCCAGTACTCCAATATATACATATTTACAAAAGGTCACGGGGCCACTGCCGTTTTAACCTCCAGGAAGGATTATAGGGATGGCTGGATTTAGATAGGGATTGTGCTACAGGATTTGGATGATGAGTGAGGTACTGGTGAAATTTGGAAAATGTATCTGAGATTAGGTCAAGAACTAATTGGATATAAAGGTCATTATGGAGGGTTTTATTGGTTACATAGAAGGGAGCATCGATTATAGTTCGGAGGACTTTAGACTGGAAGGATTGAATGCATTTGATGTTAGAAGGATTTGCTGTACCCCACAGTTCTAGTCCGTAGGTCCAGATAGGTTTCAGGATTGTCTTGTAGATTAGTAGTTTGTTGTCGACTGAAAGTTGAGATTTTCTATTCGTTAGTCTATATAGCTGTCCGTATCGTCTGTTAAATTGTTGTCTTTTAAGTCTGATATGTGGGTTCCACGTTAGTTTTTTATGTAGAAGAAAGCCAAGATACCGGACTATGTCGGTGAGAGGAAAGATATGGAGTTGAAATAGATTGGTGGACAGGACTTGCGCCGAAGGGTGAAAAGGATGTTTGGATTTGAATTCATTTACTTGGATTCATTCACTTATTACACCGGAGTTGAATAAGAGAAAGGTAACTTTGTAGGTTTAAGGATGCTGTTTCAGGATTTGGATTGGAAAATAGGATGGCTGTGTCATCAGTGAAAGTTGCCAGGAGGGTTTTGGGATAAGAAGGAATATCAGCGGTAAACAGAATGTAGAGGATGGGACCCAAGACACTGCCTTGAGGAACTCCCACCTCAATTGAATGGCAATTGGATGATTCTGTACCACAGCTTGAAAGGAGTGGTCAGAGAGGTAGGATAGGAGTATTAGATATGAGGATTGTGGTAGGTGGGTTTTAAGCTTTGAAGAGTAGTCCGGTGTGTGTGATGTCCAGGAATACTCCCGAGCATTACTTTGTTTTCTAAGGCTGAGAATACGTGGTCAACAACTTGGAGTCCTTGTTGAACAGTGGAATGTTGGAAAAAAAATCCGAATTGATGGGTAGGAAGGTTTTGGGATTCTATTATGGGTAGCATTATTTTCAGTAGGATTTTTTCAAATATTTTTGAAAGGATTGGCTGGTTTCAGGAAAAGGAATATGGCAGAATGTTTCAATAAGAGAAGAAAATGGGTAGTTCTTAGGATGCAGTTGTATATATATGTGAGGAACAGGATCGCTTTGGGTGGTAGTTGATAAAGGATCTGTGGGGTTAGAAGATCGTATCCAGGAGATTTGGAGGAAGATAGTTTTTGTAAATGATATTTGACCTCAGAAGAATGAACTGCTTTTGGTGGAAAAGAAAGTGGAATTGGTGAGAAAGGAATTTTTCAGCTGTTACAGTATCGGTGAGATGGGATTCAGAATGAGGAGTAAATGTTCAGGAGAGGTGTTTGGCGAATTCCTCAGGTTTGTTTTCACCAGACGTCGCTCAGAAGACATCACCTGGACAGAGGGGATGGGAAATATTATGGGATTTTAGGATTTTTTGGTGATATTCCAGAGGGAATTGTCGTGAGCGGAGAGGGAGGCAAGGTAAGAGTTAAAGGATTGGGATTTTAAGTTAGATAATTCTTGCTTAACTTGTTTACAGTAATAATTATAGGAACGGTGAACTGTGGAATGTCTGGTGCGTTCCCATAACAATCTGGCACGGTGTTTGGTATGGATTAAGTCGAAGATGTGTTGAGGTAATTTATTTTCTATGGAATTCTTTGGGAATGGTCAGGAGAGGAACTGCTAGTTAAATGGCAGTGGTAAGGGAGTGTACGGCATTATCAAGTTCTTCTGGAGTTTTCAGGGTTATTCTGAGGTCAATTTGAACGGAGAGGATTTGATGGAAGAGTTTCCAGTTGACTGGGCTTCTGATAAAGGACGGTGGAGAGGGTTTAGGAATAGGAGCTAGTGATACTTGGAATATTAATGAACTGTGGTCTGAGGAAAGTTCATCGAGGTGTGCAATGGAATAGTTGAGGGGACCTAAACCACTGTGGATGAAGAAATCAAGGAGATAGGGATTACGGCTAGGATCAGTGGGCCAGTAGGTAGGTGAGTTCGGGGGAACGAGGTTAAAACATCCAGAATTGAGTGCAAACAGCAATGTTCAAGCCTCAAGAATTCGTGGTTCTTGAACCCCATTGTTGATGCTTGGTGTTTAAGTCTGCACCCAGGATGAAATGGTGTCTTAAGGAATTGATTGGGAAGGCAATACACTGATGCAAGGGTGATAGGAAAGGAGAAGGTTTTGATTATGATAGCTGTGGATTGTAGGATATTATGAGTAGGTAATGGGGGTAGGTGATGAGATAGGGATTGGTGGATTGGATTGGTACAATGACTGCAGTGCCGGCATGTGCTCTACCTTCAGGATGGTCAGTACGATATGTTGAGTAATGTGGTATTTTTAAAATTTGTTTTTTGTCAGTCGATTTTCCATAATAAGTGCTACATCAATGTTCTTGTCTAGTAATAGAGCTGCCACTTCGTCAGTGTGATTTCTAACACCATTCACATTCCAAAGGAGAATAGATAAGTGTTTGATGGAATTCATTTAAGGATTTTTTAAAGGTGGAATGAGGTCAGATACTAGATTTGTAAGGAGAGATATCAGTGGGGAAACAAGGGATTTGAATTCAGTGAGGAAAGATGCAAACAAACTGGTAAGGTCTGTGACTTATGATGCAGGAGGAATATGAGGAATGTGATGTTGATGAGGTTAATGAGAACTTTGTACATTAGGAGGGATAGGAGGTTGAAGTTGGGATTGGGGTTCTTGTTGTGGAAGGGCATCACATTTATCAGTCAGGGCTCTCCCCCTAGTAACTGGGAAAAAGAAACTGCTGAGGGTTCTAAATTTATGAAAAATATGGGTAATGGTATTTTTCTATTTGCCCCGGATACATCTCTGTCATCCTTCATAACATTGGTGACTTGTCGGACTTTAAAACCTAGGGCCGTCAGTTCTTCTACGACCGCCTCGGATGGAGTAGAGGGGTGAAAATCTGCCTTTGTGTCAGATAGATATTTAATTATTTGGCGGTATGCATCAGCTGTGCCTGGGGATATTTTATATCGTTAGTAAGACTTAAACAGGAGTAGCTACCAGGAGATGTAATTTTGCTTGAATGTGTGCATAGTAGGGGGAAATGTTTTTAATTTTTAACAAACATTGGAGGAGGCCAGGGGTCTCTGGGAAAAGGTGCAGATTCTATCACCTCTTTTCATTTTGTAGTACCTCATAAGGATTTGGGGTAAAAAAGGGAGACTCCTCAGTCATCTCCTGAGATGTACTAAGCTGAGGTTAAGTGTCTTCTGCTACTTTAGGTGGTGTATTTTTTTTCGATTGGCGACTTTTTTTTTTCATCGGTCATCCGGCAGAGCGAGACCTCGTTGTTGCACCCTTAGAAGACATGAGTGAAGGAAGAAAAAATAAATAAATAATAAAATGAAATAAAGCGTAGCTTCAAGCCTAACTAACTAGTCTGGGCCAGGTATTTATGGCTGCGAGATAAGGGAACTGACCACTATACACCAAATTCACTTCACACAACTGCACACAATAAATAACAACTGTACTCCTGTGGCATTAATGTATATTATGGTCCAGGTGTTTAGCTCACATATAGCCACAATTTTATTTAAAAATAACACTGATTTCCTAAGAAAAAGTGAATAAATCTAAGAGACGAAGTAACAGTGGTATATTATTATCTAGCACATGCCCAGAACTCAAGGATATAATTAAAAAAAGAAATGTTTCCATTATATAAATAAGTTTCTACATATTTTTTAATTTATTAACTTTCGGTTCAATATCTCTTCTCTTCCATGACACACATCTGGTAGCCAAAAGAAATGGTTGCAAACATGATAACTAACAAGTTACAACAAAAATGGCTTACAAGGGAAGGCTACGGTCAGTGGGTCACTGATTTCAACCAATTCTTTTCCGACTCCGTTCCAATGGGCCCTAAGAGCTGAGAAAAATTTTTTTTAAATATAATTTCAAACAAATTTATGTTATTTATTTTTGCTCAAATTTTTAGGATATTATTCACCAGTCAAATTATTTTTTGTGAGGAAAAAGAGAAAATATATTGACTATTGTTTTAAATGAGCTATAATCTGTGATAAATTACAAAAACCAAAAGGTGCTACTAGTAAATTAGGATAAATAAGTTTTTGTTATAGAAAAGAAAGTTAGCTCAATGGAAAGAATATGAGGATATCTGTCCAATATTTATGTATTTTTGACCCACTCATTATAGCCTCCCCTTGTTAGTTGTTAGATTACTTAAAATCTTAGTTTTGTTTTTCAAAGTGGGTTGTATTTAAGTGATAAAGTCACTTTTCCTTCACTCCTTTTGGAAAGATTAGTGGAGGTTTCGGGAATCAAAATCAAATCTATATCAACATAATTTTTAGAGTTATTATAACTATTATAACACAAAATATTCAGAATTTTATTTCAATAACTTAGTATTCAGTAAATCAATTATTATGAAATAAGAGAAAAACAGTAATGTGGAGTAAATCTTTTATTTGTACAAGGTAGCCTGTTCCCAAAGCTAATTTACGATATAGTGAGGAGATTTAATTGAGACATAAAACAGCTACTTCAACAAGAAAAACTGGTGATTTATAGCATAATTATTCAAAATAATCAATGGTCAGTCATTTGAAAACTTTAAATATACAAAATATATATACATCAAAATTCATAATTTAAAATTACATTTTAGAAGAAAATTATTAAAGGAAAATTACCTTTGCTAATGGAATAGTAGGGGGCGGTGGAGAACTAGTCGGAGAGATATATAATGGAAGTACATGAAGATTAGGCGGTTGTGGAACCTGTGGAGTAAGAGGAGGAGGGGCAGGTGAACAAACAAGAGTTGGTCCACTACTGGAACTTCCACTGCTGCTAGAGGAAGAACTGCTATTACTGTTACTGCTGCTTTGTGGTTTAAGCTTTTTCAATGCAGGTGGTGCATCATCAGGACGTTTTTCTTTTATCGCAGAGACTGGTCCTACAGGAACAACTACTCTTTCAACACAGCGAACACCATTAACATCTTTACTGGTTGGTTTTTCTCCATGTTTCTTATCTCTTCGGTGGCCACTACTACCCCTTTTCTTTTCCCCATTTTCTCCAGATTTAACGATCTCATGTTTCGTGCCTGGCTTTGTCCTCTTGATCTTCATCTTGAGGCCCTTGTCGACAGTTGCTTGGTGCTCGACGGGGGAGTGCATCTTCCCAGGTTTGGGGGCGGCCATCCCTTCCCCCACTCCCGTCTTTTCTATGTCTGCATCAAGATCGATGATAAGATCCCCAATACCTGTAGTAAAAGTAAATTTAATTACTAAATGAAAACTATAAAATTAAATTAAGAAAACACAGATTGTTTAAAAATTAAACATGAACATATTTGTAATGTAAACATTTATTTATTAAATAGTACAAATGAACATTCCTTTAATTCTCAAGTGAATATTTAGTAGACAGATATTTACCATGCCACATTTTTCATAAACGACTGATTATGAATACTTAAATATACTTTGAGATTATCTGATTATGGTATACTAATAGAGAAAGGTTTCAATCTATTTTAGAAGTTAGGAGAATGGTCAACACAAAAACTATTGGGTTGGCAAATAAGTCCTTTCGGTTAGTCAGGATGAAATAAAACTCAATGTATTATAAGACATAAAATTTATTTTGATCTACAATATATTGACCATTATTTAATTTAACTTTTTCCCATCTTCTCACTGCATAATGCCGTGTTCATAGAATGTCCGGAGTTTATTGTTAAAAAACTGATCCAATTTTTGATGTCCTCTTCCCTTTGGAATTTCTTTCCATTCAGGGAGTTCTACAGACACAGGAATAAGTGGTAGTCACTAGGAGAAAGGTCTAGTGAATAGGGAGGGTGGGGTAAAAGGTCTAAGGCTAAGGCTCAAGTCTAAGGTCAAGGCCCATCTAAGGCTCAATAATTTATTGCGAGTGACCAATGAGGTGTGGGACCTAGCGTTGTCTTGGTGGAATACAACACCCTTCCGATCATTCGTAACTCTTTAGGATGTTCTCCAAATTCAATGTAACTATATTCATTGGAAAGCTGAGTTGTTGCTCTTTAAAGCCATGTGATTTTTTTTTTTATTTAATGCCTACATAAGGAATAAATAAACAAAAACTTCTTATAGGTTTTTATTTTTTATCACCATTTCTAGTTTGTTTACGAAGGTCTTGTTGCTGTTATTTTGTGTAGTTTATGTGCCTCTAAATTCTTGCTCAATTTCTTGTAGATGCCTAAGTCGTATTGAAGTTATAACATTTTTTGTGATTTTTGAAAAAAAAATCATGTGAGAGACCTAAACATTAAGCCTGGAAACATAGCCGAGCTTGTGCAAATGGTGTTCTACGCTTGTGTGCGACACATTTAGGGCCATAGCAATCTCTCACACTGATTGGCTGGGATTTTGATCAACAATGGCCTTAATATTGTTCGTTTTAATTAATCACTGATGTCAAAATTTCCTCAACAAAATTTGGCAAACCAATTTTGACAGGTGCGTTTGGTTAAGGCATCATCCCCTTAAGCACGGCAAATTTTTCTAGGAGCTTCTGCAGCACGCTTACCTTTTTTAAAATAATACAACAAAATATGACGATAATGAATGACATTTTCTTCCATATTCACAGTGCAATAGCAAACACAATACCATGCTAGTTTCAACAAGAGTTAACAGATATAGTTGCTGACATATTACAAACAGAATAAACAATCCACCTTAGGGATTAATTCATTAGATAAGAGATGCATCATAGTGACATAAAAATAAACAGAAAAATCGAAAGAACTTATTTGGCAACCCAATAACACTAGACACTTATTTATTTTAATAAATAATAGTGAAAGTATTTATTATAGTATTAAATACCAACTAGAAAATGATACATTAAAAGAAATTAATTAGAGATATTATCTTGATCCTGGACAAACCAAACCAAAGTTTCTTTCATACAAAGAGACATTGAATTCAAAAATAGTCATAGCATCGAACCAGATCAAATTGTTAAAAACCAAGCGAATACTGTTGGCTAAAGATACTGGAGTTGAGTAGTGGGCAAGGAGATCTTCTAAAGTGTAATAAAGTTAAGGAGATCTTCTAAAGTGTAATAAAGTTATCACTTAAAGCAAATCATCAGGGAGAGAAAAATCATCCAAGGCTCAATAATTTATTGGGAATGACCAATGAGGTGAAGGGCCTAGTGTTGTATTGGTGGAGGGGCCTTCCGATCATTCATAACTCTTCCTAAAGAAACTAACTGAGTCCAATACCGGATAACCACAGATGCTAAATTGAGAAACAGAAATTATTAGTTATGTGAACCCTGAAAGATCTCTAAGAGGTGTTGTGACACCATTTTTTAGTGTACCCTTAAATTAATAGATTAAGAGGAAAAGCCTGACAGCAAAACATAATCTTAGCTAAATTCATCCTTGCACAACTGTTGACAAAAAAAACATACTTCCTACTAACTAATAAACTCCAGACCACCTATGGGTTATAATTTTACAAGTTTTATGTATATATTAACACAGGAAAGTTAATATTTGAATTTCCACAAATAATATTTAGGAAATGAGTTGCTAAACATCGTTTTGTTTTTTAATGTGTTAATGATTCATTTTTTAAAAAAATCTGGACCATATAGTTAAAAAACGCTTGAATATATCAAGCATCCATGAACCTATAAAATGTTTTGGTATTCCTAAACCAGAAGAGATCAATGTTCCATCATAAACTAAAGTAAGAGAAATAGGACTGATGGGTGTGGTCGGAAATTAAACTAAATACACTATACATAATATATATTTTTTAAAATAAGGGTTTCCTTTTTTTGTTTCATTTCATTTATGCCTGCAACCCCTAAGCAAGTCCTCCTTCAATAAATTGGTCAAGAACACCTCCACCATTATAAAGTAAAGTAATAGATCTTTCCTATTAATAAAAATGCAGATATAAAAATGTGACCAGGAAAATCTAACAAATTTATTATTAGATTTTAAAAGACTACATTTTTAACACCGTCCCTTCCTAAATTAAACCTCTAAGTGCTAACAAAAAAAAATGTCTGTTTTTACATTATAGTGAAAAAACAAGTACAAATGAAAACATAAAAAAAAATTGGAAATATAATTAGTCATATTAGATGGTGCCACCATGTTTTATTAAGGACTCACAACATCAATTCATATTTAATAGAGAGTGACAAATAGAAAAATCATATTTATAAAAAATGTTACATAAGTACATATAAGTGAGTGTTAATCACTTGATTTCAAAAATAATATTTACTATAACAACAAAGAAGGTTAGTTTTATGTAGAAAAGTAAATGAAATGAGAACATGAATGAAATACAGAAATTGGAGGGAAGCGAACAATCTCTAATATTTTCTTTTTTCATAGGTGTTAAATACCATTGCCAGAAATAATGATAACACCTTATCTACCAATTGTTACACCAAACCTCGCTAGTCCGGCTACCTCCTAAATTATTTTTCCCACCAAAAAATCGGTGTAGATAAAAACTCGATTCACCTCTGTTTAACACTATCTGACTCAAAATTTCATGATAACAACTTAATTGGACTTTACAAGACCCTGAAATCAAACGACTTTCCTGATTACATAACAAATAACTTGATTAAAAATCAATCAACTTCACCCTCACAATTATATATAATGAAGAGAAGTTGGTTGGAATGTTCATTCAAAAATACAAAGTAACAGTAAATAAATGATATGAGAAGGAGTTGATTGGGGGGGGGTGCTGTCAAATAAATACTAAATTAAACAAACAGTATTATTTAATTTTTGTCGACGTTTCTTTCATCCTGGTGATGATTGCAGAATCATTTCTCATAAAGTACTCTTTCAGAGAATTTTCTTGTTTTTGACAAGAGCCCTCATTCGAAATAAGGTCATGTCCTCTTTTTCTTTCCTTGACGAATAGAGCATTTTATTCAATACTTAATAGTTGACTGTTGTATTATTAAGGAAGGAGATAATTTGGGTTGGAGGTCATAAATAAACTAAATAGTGGCAAAACTATTTTATTAAAACCCAACGTTTCGACCCGACTTTGCAGGTCTTCTTCAGGGCTAGAATAGTTACTAGTTGATTTAAGGAATTTTGGTATATTATCTGAGAGAATGGGAATATAGGAGAGAGATTTGACAAGTGCCCTCAATTGAAATAAGGTCATGTCCTCTTTCTTTCCTTGACGAATAGAGTCTTGCCTTGGATGCCTTTGGGAGATGAATTATTGCATTGGTCATCATTATACGCATCAGGCAGTCTATTTCTTGAAGTTTTATAGTTGACCTGTTTATTACACCAAAACTACCAGTGGTATAGCCCATGTATTAATGTCATGGATTTTGTTTTTACCATTTTAATGACTTCTAAGAATCTGAAGCAGCCTTTAACTTGCTAGTTATTTCACTAAGTACATCTTTCTTGGCTATCTAAATAGTCAGCTTAAAACCAAGGTATTTATAAAATTCTCCTGCAGACTGGTGTTTCATGAATTCTCCTGACGGAAGTTGCAAGGAACTGGTGTTCTTAACTCTGTGGCTAATGGCTTTAGAGCAGTGTGCACATAACTGGAAAGTAAGAGCCCAAGATAGGCAGGGATGGAGTAGGTTTGTTAAGGCGGCAAAAGATCTACAAGAACTGTAATGCCAACTGAAGAAGAAGAAGAAAGAGAATAATTAAAGAGAAGGATGGTTGGGGTGATCGCTCAAAATAAAATAGTAAAATTAAATAATTGTATTTTAAATTGGTAAATGGTTGACTGTCGTGGATAATGAAGAGAAGAATAGTTGGGGTGGTCAGTCAAAAAAGAAGGCAAATATAAATGATACTATTTATTTTTACATATGCCGATGTTTCGACCTGAAGTTCAGGACATCATCAGGACTAAGAAAAGAACCAGATAACAAGGTATGAGAAATATAAAAATTACAGTAAAATGAAACTTCGGCATATGTAAAAATAAATAGTATTATTTATTTTTGCCTTCTTTTTTGACTGACCACCCCAACTATTCTTCTCTTCAATAATTGTATTTATTTTTAATTTTATTGATAAATAAATATTTTATTGAATACTTAATAGTTGATCGTTCTATTATTAAGGAAGGAGATGCTCTGGGGTGGCAGTCATAAATAGACTAAATAGTGGCAAAACTATTTTATTAAAAGCCAACATTTCGACCCGACTTTGCAGGTCTTCTTCAGGGCTAGAGCTAGAATTTAAGG